TCAGGTTCCCTGGCATCTGATAGTTCACATTTTTCACAGTGCTATGTTACTTTCAGTAACTTCCTTTTTTGGGGAAAGACTTAACCTTTATCTCTTCACTGAGACCACGCAAATCTATATTGCAAATAAACAAGAAAAAAAAGAAAAGACATGAAAAAGAAGAGCCAGCTCAGAAAAAACGTACTACCTAAACAAAATTCATGCACTATTCTGTTAATTATTTAAAGCAGACACTCCTAAAGGTTGTTACTTTAAGTAAATCTATTTCACAGATTAAAAATAGTGTGGTCTTCTGTGATGTTTTAGTGCAATATGTCTTTGCAGAAAATCCTCTCATTTTTCTTGGTTTGGCTTTGAACCAGTCAGTGCTATATCTGCAGACCTCAGCCATGAGACAAAATTTAGCAAATTCCCTGGAAAACTTGGAGCAAAACCCTTCCCCATCCCTTAAAATAGGCACGCAAGACCACACAGTTGGGACCCAGTCCCACACCCACTTAAGCTGGTGTGCTTGCAATAGAAAGGATTTGCTCCATGGTCAAAACCTATTAACCATAAATTGGAGCCTACTCACATCTGCATTCCTCACTAAGCTCTTTCCATGAAGAGTTGAAGGGGATTGAGGTAGCTGTAAACATGTCAAACTGACTTCCCATGAAACATCTACCAGATGGGAACATCTCCTATTAGAAAAATGGTGCCTTCAGGGCTCCTTTGCAAAAGACTAAAAGACTGATTTAGAATGGGTTAGTTTCAGTTGAGCTTAGTACTTATTTATTTTTCTCACACAATTTTCTCAGAAATGCAACTGTATTAGCAAAGTGATTAATAAATGACACTGATAAAAGTACTGTTAAGATTAGATCAGAATTTAAGTGGCTGGTAAGACATTGACAGTATTTTTGAAAGAAAAGGAACTGCATAGTTGTACCTTTATGAAGCTGAATGTAAACCTAAATATTATATCCTTCACATCCCATTTTAATTACCTAAATACCAAAATCTTTCTCAGCTTTCCATATTTTCTCAAATAAACTTCATTGAATTTTAGGGCAGAAAAAACACAAGTGCAAAGCTATTCTGTGAAAAACAAGTTCCCACAGTCTGGCTGGTCTCATAAAAGAAAAACCTTTTGTTCTGTTGTGAGCTTTTGTAGACAATGAATCCAATTCTCTCATGTTTTCAGAATTCTGCTCATTAATTGTTGATGAGAAATTATGAAGGTTGAAGACAGGTAATCTTACAACAGCCACCAAAACATTATGCTTCACCTTACATTTTCTGTTTCAGACTAAACCCTGTTTCAGGCTTTGTGGCATAACAAATGTATACAGGTTAGTTGTATTTTTTTGTTCTTCTGATTGATGGAAGATAAAACTTCAGGGGCTTAAGGCAGCTTGTATTTATTGCCAGCTTGTTTGCTGAGTGACAGTAATTTTACAACTTTTTTCCTCTTTAATTTTATGAGCTAGAATTGAGAAAATTATAGTGTATATTCACCTACTCACTAGTAAAAGTCCTGCAAGGTGCTGAGCAGCTCAGTTATGTCACTGAATTAGAGGAGAGCTGATGATGCTCAAAGAATGAGGTTTCTAGACAACCTCAGCGACTCCCTGTTTTTGGGCTACTGGCCTAGTGTGTGGTTGTGTCAGTTTTTACTGCAAACATGCCATTTGCTAACTGGATCCTGGTAAAACTGGAAGCTATTCAGCTTTTCCTCAAATCATTTACAGCTCTTCCAAATTTTTTCTTGTAAGTGTATGTCAGTACACCCATACCTGAAGAGAACTCCTTGTAATCATCAGAGACAATACACTACACTGAATTCCACTCTTTTATATTGTTCAAATTTGAACAGGATAATTGAACATGTACTTTGTAGCTTTGTCAGTTCTTCATAAAACAAAGGCAGCTACTTACTTTTTTGACTTCAGAACTGCCCACAGAAGTAGAGTTTTGTTTTTCTAGTGACAAGGAATGCTTCCTATTAATCAGGCTTTCTTCTGTGGGCATCTGGGTTGACTGGTGACAGCAATGTATCAATGAATTAATGTGAACAAAACAATCTGACACCTGCTTGATTTTTTTGTTCTCTCAAATGGAACAACTATTGAGAAAAGTGTTAAGACACATAGATTTGTTGAATATAGAAAGTTTTTTTTGGTAGTTGTAGTAATACAAATAGAAATTATTTTGAGAGGCCTAGCCAAATAAAACCTCTACTGTTTGGCATAAGGGTATGGCATTATTTATAATAATTTGCATTTAACACAAATAAAGCATTTGAGCATTGTTAATTGGGTAACAAGGCAATAAAGCTTTGGCATGTATTAATTTGTTAGCTTAGAATGTGGTCACAGTGAGTAATAGGGCTGTTTTGGAGTCAGGCATTTTGATAGGATACGTGTGAGATTAAGTTGCTTTCATGCATGAACATTTTGTCAAAAACCCTGCAGGTCACTGTGCTCGTAATGATGTCGTTAACATAAACACAATGTAATTGTTTTGTATCTAATTAATGGAATAAGGTATCCTAAATGCATCTTGATACATTAACTTAAATCAACCTTTAAAAGAGGTGAACACTGTACAAGAAGCATGCTTAAATGGGTAATTCTTCTGTGATTTTCTACCTTATTGTGCATCTGCAGTCTTCTTGCATTATCAACCTCAGAAGGCTATGAGGATGAAACATAGAATAAATTGTTATCAATATTTTTAATTGCAAGCAAAAAGAAATATTAGCATGGCATCTTGGTTTCTGCCCAAGCAGAACTTGAAGCTTTCTCTAATACTTTCAGTTTTTGATTAGAAATGAATCTAGTAAAAATAAAGTGGGTAAATTGAAGCCTTTTAAATCTTAATATAATCTGACAATCAGTAAAAATGTGAGTAGATGTTTATTAGTATAGCACTAATAATTCTGCCATTAACAGGAAGAAACTGCCTTGGATTTACAACACTCTATTTTTTTTCCAACCTTTTCTATTTCTATTTCTATTTCTATTCTGGGACTAGAGGAGCTTAGAGGTGTGTAGTACTCAGTTATTTGTCTTTTTATTTGCCTCTGTGTATTTGCCGAGCCAGAGTTTATAGGAGATATAAAAGGTGACAGACATTTAGGGAAGCCTCTTTACTTTAGAAATCATTAAACTAAATCTAAACCATCATTTTGCCAACCCTTAAGAAGTTCCAGTTAAACAAGATTTGCAACTTCTGAACCCATAAGAAAATTTCAACTAAATTGGCAAACTAGGGATGTCACAAAAATAAATGTCAAGTTTTGTGATGAAGGAAGACTTTATTAGTGGATTTGCTAGGTTCCTGTGGAGATCATGGAAAAGACATTTTGACAGTGGGGAAAGACTCAAGCAGACCTTGCTGCTGACCATAAGGTGCAAGGCTGGAGGAATGCAGGCTTCATTAGTTCTGGGACAACTTCTCGGGTTTTTTTTTCCTTTTAGGTCTCATTATGGGAAATGCCAGTTACTGACAGGTACAGAGAGCTTGACTTAGGAATGTGGATGTTACCATCTCTTCTCTTGGCTGCTGCTCACTGGGAGCCCCACCTGTCGAACACAGTGGTGAATGCAAAATGAATGAGCACAACAAAGTCCAGCTGTATTCAGTCAGATGAAGTATTAGGGTTTGTATGCCAGTTTTAACATGTAGAGACTCGGGCCCTTCCACCTGTTCTGAGTATTTTTAGGTTATTCTACAAATGTTGGGTAATCTTCACTATTTCACAAGAGATAGGCCATAATGTCAGAATCAAAATTACTGAATTTCTAGTAACAGGCAAATCACCCCTTCATGTTGGTTGATACAATTGTGGTTGGTCAATGTTTTCTTAACAATTCAGCATTGCATTTTTTTCTCTTGTTCCTTTTTGTGCAGAGATGCCAAAGATGGAAAGTAATTTGCTTAATATGCAACTGTTACTCCAACAGGAATGACTCTCTGCCTGTGTGTCTTCTGTGAACTGTTGAATCACTGCCCAACTTCTGCATCCCTAAAAACACACCCAAACAGCAGGGATTCAAACAAACGTTTGACCACCAGCTGTCATTGAGACCAGTTTACAAGAGTCATAAGGGGTTTGTCTGGAAAACTAACTTTCTGCCCACTTAAACCCAGGTGGTTTTCCTCTTACAAGGGTATTGTTTCAGGGAGATAAGACACTGTAACAAAGCTAAATGGATGCAAAGATCAGTCTTGTCTCACGCTCGTGTTTCACTTCCTTTAGATAGCTCCCTACAGCTTCTCCTAGGCCTTCTGAGCTTTTGGTATTGTTTCCAGAAATCAAGATCTGAGAAAAAAAATTAATCAACTTTCTCTTTACACAAGATATACCTTGAGGAATGAATTCAATACATCACCCCTTCAAGAGTCCCAGGGGCAACTTCTGATGACCTGGGCCACGTGGTGCTGCCCACCCAAGTTCCTGCTGCTGCCCAAGCTCCTGCTGGCACAGTATTTGGGGCAGAATCTCCAAAACTGGCAGCTGGAGATTGGCAGAGAAGGGACAATTTCTTCTTTTAGTTCTTTTGGTGTTTTGAGACTGTGGGGCTGTGCTAGAAACTGTGAAAGAGGACTTTATTGGGAGCTGCAGAAAAAGCACACAGGATTTAAAAAAAAATATTTTAACTTCTATTCTGTATTTCTTTTGAAATGGAGAGTGATTCTGAATTTGAAACTGCCTTCTAGTTTGAGCCATTACAGTAATAACAGGACAGGTTACCAAAGGTCTCCTAGCACTGAAGGTGTACAGCTAATATGTAATCATATAGCTTGCTGAAAGTAATTTTTACATTACTTTGGGATGACCAGGTCACTTTAGGTCATTGTGGTAGTCATCCCAGGCCTGTAATGGTACAGTTAAACCAGTGGATACTATTTTTTCTATTAATCTTCCTAGAAAAGCCTTTGTAATCCTAATTTTCTAGGCCATCAGGGTAAAGGCAGATTACAACTAAAGCTGGTTTATTAACTTTACTCACCTTGGTTTTACCCAGCTCGGATCTCTTCTGTTAGGTGCCTGTACCTGGCGTCAGTACTTTCCTCAGTGGTCTTTCAAACTTGTTTTTCTGACACTTAGGTCTGAGCAACTTTATTTTACTGTGAATTTAGATTCAATTTTGGAGTTTGCCCTGGACTGTGCAGCAGGTTGGACCAGGAGTCCTCCAGAGGTCCATGCCAACCTCAGTTATTCTGAGATTCTAATTTGTGCCCTCTTCACATATGAGGCAAACTGCTTCACAAGTCCCAATTTATTCACAGTTACACGACACGCTGCAGTGAAGCAGGAAGAGCACCCAGTCTGTGATGCCTAAATCTTCTTCCACTGCTTCACCTGTCAGTTTTGAGTTACGCTGCACAGCCCCAGTCATTGCCCCTCTGCCGTGAGCAGTTCCTGATGCTGCTATGGATCAATCCCAAATTACAAGCCACATGTCCCCACGGTGAGCAACACTGGATTAGCAATTGGCTCCGGACAACGCATGTGACGAGCCTGGTGCCTCCCAGGAGCTGAGGGGCAGAAGGACGGACAGGGTTCTTTTCCCCACGGAAGCGCTTCTTGTCTTAATCACATGAATCCTATTTTTGCACCTGCTTCATTTGTTCCTCGGTTCCCCGCTGCTGACCACAGACCCCTTCCGATCTTTTCACTGCAGTCTCCTGGGAGGGACGACCAAACCAGGGCCATCGCCCGTGTCCAAAGGGGCAGCGGTGAGTGCTCGCCCTGCAGCGCACCCGCCCCGAGGGGCTGCGAGACTCTCGTTCGGGCGCTCTCGGAAAGCCTCTCCCCGGAGCTCTGCGTGAAACTTCGCAAGCGGCGGGTTCTGCCGCCGCCGGGAGACCCGTCCCCGCCGCGGCTCCCGCGGGGCGCGATGCCCGTGTCCGTGTCCGTGTGTGCCGGAGCCCGCCCGGCGTTTCGGCGCGGACCAGCAGATGGCGGCGCCGCCCCGGCTGGGCGCGCAGCCCCGCGCACGGCGCTGCCGCCGAGCCCCGCTCCGGTTACAGCCCTCCCCCGCCCCCGCCCTCCGCCGCGGTGTCTCCCTCCCTCCCCGCCACCTCCCCGCCTGTCACTACCACGCCGGAGAGCCACCATGGCGCACGGCGGGCCACGCGTGTCCGCCGCCGCGGCTCCGCGCGGGGCTGCCCGGCTGCCGGCGCTGCTGCTGCTGCTGCTGCTGCTGCCGCTGCTGGGCGCCGCCGCCGCGCCGCGCTGCGCGGAGCCCTGCGGCCACCCGCGCCCCGCAGCCCTGACCCGCGGGGCGCGCAGCCCGCCCGAGCCGCGGCCGGGCAGCGGGGAGGCGGCGGGGAGCGGCCGCTCCAGGAGAGCATCCTCGGCGGCCGGCCGGGAGCAGGTCTCCCTCATCAGCACCTCCTTCGTGCTGAAAGGGGACGCGTCTCACAACCAGGCGATGGTGCACTGGACGGGCGAGAACAGCAGCGTGAGTGCGAGGGGCAGCGCGGGCGGGGTGTGGGGTCCCTGCCCTTGCCGTTGCTTTGGTTCCCCAACTTGCGGTGCGCAGCCCGCGCTTCGCCGGGCTCGGTGCGACGGGGGCGCGGTGCTCCTGCCGCCCGCTGCCCGGCCCGGGGCGCGGGGATCCCGCGGGCAGCGCTCGGGGGGCTGCGGCCGGTGAGGTGCCGCCGGGAGGTGAAGCGCCGCCGTGGTCGGGCCGGCCCCGCGCATCCCCCGCCACTTCCCCAGAAGTTTGGAAAGTTTGCGAGCGCGCATCTCGCACAGGGGCCGGGTGCGCGATGTGCGCCGCACTGCGAGGAGGAGGAGGAGAACGAGGACGAGGAGGACGAGGAGGGCATCTTGGCCCCAGAGAGGCGAAGCGGTGTCCGTGTGCGGTCGGAGTGCCCCCGGGGCTGTGGCAGGGTCTCCGGGTAAAGGAGGGGCAGGGGCGAACTGCGGCGCGGGGATTATCTCCTCCAGCCCCGCATGAAGTCCCAGATTAAATTGTCGAGGTTTAATCGATTCACCGCGATTCAGTCATCCCCGTGTAATCTCCCCCGCGCCGCTCTCTGTCTTCGCAAGCGCCGGGGAAAGAAAAACCCGAAACAAACCGAAAATGAAATAAAACGCAGCTCCGGGCTTGAGGTGGATGTGAGCGGCAGGGGCGGGTGAGCGGTACGGCCCCGCCGAGCGCCGCGGGGGTGGAGGGGCGTCCCGCAAAGCTCCAGAATAGCAGCAGCTCTCCGAGGGGGCTTTTACAGCCACATCGGTGGATAAAAATCATGCGCTGGAACCAGTGAAATTGCATTAGAGCGTCAGTGTTCACAACTTTTCGCAGTTAAAAGTGTGTCTTGCCTTTATTACTTATCTAATTTAGACGGCAACTCTCACGGTGAGTGCCCCTAGTAATTTTTAACTCATTTTCAATTTCAGCTTGTCTTCATTTCTTTATGTATTGATCCATTAGTGGGTGTGTATTCGCACGGGTAGTTTTAGGGATTTGCTGCTTCTGATTTATCCTCCACTGAAACACTATATCATAACAGTGGTCGTCATGGGTAAATACTGCACAGCACCTTGCACTGTCTGTAACTTCTCAGTCAGGAAAATATGGTTATGAAGGCTCAAGATCAACTTTGTCCTGAAGGATTTTAGTGTTTCTGGAAAGCTGCTGAGTGTTTTCACTACAGTTCACCTAAGCTCCGACTCTGCCTGAACTTTGTGAATTTAGCATAAAGTTTACTTAAACTTGGCTCAGTTCAGAGTGCGTGTATTGTACTTCTCATAAGTATGTGAATTATCATCCTTTCTCTAGGACCTCAAGTCCTGTTTTTTGCCTGTTTTGCTAGCGAGTCAGCCAGGATGTGGAGCTGCTAAGGCTCCACTGATGAGGATGCAGTGATTCCCTGGAGCATGCTGAGCGCTTATGTTAACGCTCTTGTATAATCAGGTGTCAGAGTTGAAGTCAGCATCATAAAGCTTGACACTTTCAAAGGCAGTTTTTGATTTACTCGGGAAGGAAGTGCAAGATGATGGTCATTTTCTGTGAAAAGAGAGAGTTGCAAATCAGCAGCATCAGCTATTCTAGTGCTGCCCTTCCTCCATTTCTCTGCTATTAGACTGCTTTTTTTTGCGGACAGTGCTTGCAGACTGCTAGAACTACTTCTTTGAAGAATTCAGTATTAAAAAGTTGGCATAAGTTCATTTTTTGACATAAAAGGCAAGTAACAGCTTTCATGCAAAGCGCTCTGCACTCTAAAATGAATATAGTAGAACCTTGCTAATCCACAGTTATGACTAGCAGTCTCTCCTCGCCTCTGCAAAGATTTAATAACAGATGCTGCAGCGAGGGCTTGTATTGCTAAAATGTTATTATTTTTTCACAGTATGCTACAGCTCACTTACTAGAATACTATCACGTAGTCTCTTCAAAAGCAAAGATAAATGGCAACTGTCAGAACAAATGAAAGTGGTTACAGTCTTTGCTGCAATGTATTTCGTTTTTTGTTTGCTTAGTTGCTCTCTACTAATTCAGTATTGCAGGATAATGCACTAATCATGAATGCCTGCAAACTTTTTCTACAGTATTTATACACTTAATAACAAATACTTTTGCAGAGTTACTTAGAAATTATGTTGCTTACTCTGCCTGCTATCAAGTGATTACTGTCAAGCGGGACTGTATTTGAACAAGTGACCTGGTAATGAAAGACTTTTTGCTGTCTTAACCCAAATGAAAGCAGCCAGTCTTTGCACTGGGTGTTTTACAGTATGACTGTCAGCTTCTTTTTCACCTTCTTTTCTTGTAAGCCCAAAGGAAGCAGGATGGGCATGCTTGTTTGTGAGATTAAAACAATTGAAAATCAGCACCTGATCCCAAATGTATTTAAGGTAGTCTCGAATTTCTGTTTGTTTAAGTAGATATGTATGTTTTTATTTGTATTACCCTAGGTTAAGTGTTTGGAGGTAGGAATGCTAAGATCCAGTGCTTCTCAAACCTGGCACCTTATCCTGTGTTCTTAAATCTATGGTAAGTCTCTCCTTGCCTTGGAAGCACAGGCGTGAACCATGGAGCGCTGTTCTGTCCCAGGCACATTGCAGTCAAGGGGAGGGCTGTCATTCCTAACAGTGGGGCTTTGGATCAGGTCCTGTGAACCTCAGGAGGCACTCAGCAATCTTAAAGTGTCACCACGCACGTTTGGCACCTCATTGGAGGTACTCAGCACTTTGTAAACCAAGGAGCTAAACTAGTTCCTTTACCCTTTACAGCTGTGTGGCTGAAAATTTGACAGTGATGAGCTCCAGATGACCATATATCCTCTTAAACACCTCACCTAGTAAAATAAATGAAGAAGAAATATGCAGTAGGATTATTCCTTTGAGCTTCATGATGAAGAAACAAATAACCATAAAAGCAGAGGGGGCAGCTGCTTCTCCGAGGCATGTTCACCTGCATGAATAGTTCATTGAAAGTGCTACCATGGAGTACTCATGTGTATGGATCAAGGGCAAATAAATAAATTTGGAAAGGATCGAGCTTAGGTTGATGTGCATATGGAGCTTTGAAAAAATAATTTACGTCGTGTAAATCCTCCTGTGCTGCAATAATAGAAGCATGAGATTTTTGGTTGCATGAGATGTCTTGAAAGAAACTAGGGAGGCTATAAATTAAATGGATCCTGTCTCCTTCCCTTTCTTTTCTGTGCTGTAGAAATCTGATGTGTACTTTCTTATCCTTGTGTAATGCTGTTAGTTTTGTGAATTAGAGAAATGGTGGCTTTGGTAGCACAGCAGAGGATATGGTTGCACTGATTGTAAAGTGAGCTTGAATCACTGGGAAGATCATGGTACACTTCCTTGCCTTGCCAAGAGAGAGCTGAACAGGGAGGTATGCAAAATGCTTCCTGTTTTGTGTCCTCATTATTTTATTTTGTACTCTCATAATTATTTATAGATTCCATGAACGAGGAGTCTGTCCCTGACCTTTCTTGGCAGTGGGGTGCATAGTCAAAGCCATCACTAGTGAGGCAAGTCTTACAAAGCCAGTACTTGTAACAGCAAGAGTGTATTTGGTTAGTGAATTCTAGCAATTAGTATTTCTGCTTTCTGTCCCCTCTGCCCACAGAAATCTGTTGTGCACTCTTACTTTCTAACAAAGGCTCATGCAAAAGGAACTAATTTCCTTTCCAGTCTTAAAATATCATAAACTGAAGACATGACAGGTGGGCGGTGCAGCACACCATTTACTGTGGGAAGGGCCAATAACTGACATCTGTGTAACTGATAAATAACATGGAGGTGTGCATCGGAATATATACAGGTAATGTGCTAAAACAATCGCTCTTTCTGTGTTAAACTGAATATGTATGTTCTCAGATTTACTAAAAATATGCAACCCTTTCTGATTTGGGGAAAAATAATCAATTCATGACAGCTTTTAAAAACCCTGGTTTTCCTTAGAAGAGGCCTTATAGTCATCCCAGGAGCTTTTTTGTGCTAGGCAAACAACTTTCTTTGCAAAACTATGTTCTTTTTGAGCCTCCTGGAGAATTCCCATTCTGCATTAATACCTGCTGATTTAAAAAAAAAATTAAAATCAAAGCCAAAGCAGAAATATGGGGAGAATGAGACTCATATTCAAAACTGATTTTGATTCATGGGCTGCTCTTCATGCAGTGTGCAGACTGCTAAAGTGTTGTGAACAGAACCTGGACCACCTTCTTCCAAGTCTGCACTCTCATGGTCACAGTATTTCCTTTTTTTGCTTGTAGTCAAAATATTAAGTAAGTCCGTGCAGGTGCTTATTTGTCATAAGTTGATGTCATGATCCATCATAAACATGTAGGTCTTAGTTATGGAAAATAAACATAAATATACACACATTTTTTTTCCAGACTTAAATATTAAGCAGCATCTTACCAGAAAGGAAGGTTTATTGCACATCTACAGAAGTTGCTACACACAAAATCTTTAACTGATCCAGACTTTCTGTATTTGATATACAGATACTTTGTTTAATTTAAAAACTATAACTCTTTGGGATACAGTTTCAGCATTTGTAGAGCCCAATGATCACTAAATGTATTCTTCTGGTAGATGTTTTATTTAATTGGTTTTGTATTTTGTTTAGTTTGCAATAAATTGTGCTGAGGGAATCTATAATAAGCATTGACTGCAATATTACTGTAGCAGTACCTGTAATAGTAAATGTAATTATCTATCCAAACTGGGCAAAAGTCCATTTGTGGTAAGGTTTTGGTGCTGTTTCTGCAGAGTAACCAGACTACATTTTATGAAACTAAAGGGAGCATGAGGTCAAAAATCCTGACGGCTCAGACCTTTGATAAATGGCACATATATTGCAAAGTGAAAGGCAGATTTCCCATAGGGAGGGTTTTTCTTAAAATTCTTTGAGATGATAGTGTGATTATAAAAACAAACAGAAACTAAACCCAATAATCATATTTTAATGGAACAGCAGAGTCCCAC